TCCGGTTGTGCCCGCCTCCCCCGCCCCTCCCGACGCGGGTGGGGCTGCACACTGAGAGTCGTCGCGCTGTCTCTCTCGCACTCATGCCGGGCGCCCCATGGGTGCGAGAGAGACAGCGCGACGAAAGCGACTCTCGGAATCAGTCTGCAGGACGGGGCGCCTCTCGCTAGGGAGGGCGAACCCGCGGCTGGAAACCTCTTCATGGATAAACGCGATCCCCAATTGCAAAATTGATTGCGAAATTTTAATTTTTGTTGTTTTGAGCATCGAGCATCTCTGCGCGTGCGGGACCTTTCTTTCTCGCGCGGAAAAAGACGGCCAGAAGGCGCGGATCCGGTGGGAAAGTTGGGGGGGGGGGGAAACTTGACTTCCCCTGGGCCACTAGGTAGCCGCCTGAAGGCCAGCAAACAGCCTCTCTTTGCCACTTAAACATTGCCATCTTCTCATTTCAGCAGACTGATTCCGAGAGTCTCGCTCTGTCTCTCTCGCACCCATGAGTGACGCCCTCTGAGTGCGAGAGAGACAGAGCGACGAGCCTGCAGGGCGTGCCACTCCGCGTGGAGGAGCGCCGCGGCGCTAGGCAGCCCAACCGGCAGCGCTGGCAGTCCGCCTGCCCCGCTGCGGGCGGTCCCTCGCGCGGAGAGCGCCCGACGACGGCCGGGTAGGCAGCACCGCAGCACACCGAAGCGCAACGGCACGGCCCGCCCTGCCGTTGGCAGGCGGCTGCCGCACAGTGGGCCGGAAGACCGGTGGAGGCGGCCAAAATTCTACACGCGTTTTGAGCTCCAGAGTCGTTAAAGGGGACTCGAAGCGAACGTGTGACCCCACCAATGGATTGCTCTCCGAACGAGGAATCCATTGGTGGGTCACACGTTCGCTTCGAGTCCAGCTTAGCGACTCTGGAGCTCAAAACGCGTCTGGAGTTATGGCTGTCTCCGCCGGTCTTCCGGCCCACTGTGCGGTGATCAGCAACGTCACACTGTCAAAATTTCGTTCGTCACTTGACGGCAATTTTAAAGGCTGATTCCCTGGTATGTATCAAATGCGAGCTATTTCCTTTCTTCAAGCATTGCTGTGGCTGCTACGCTTCTTGACCTCAAGATCAGTACTGTATCCCGTTCCCCGCGCCGAACCTCAGTCCGCCTACTTATTTGAGTTCTTTCTTTTGGGCATTTAATTTGCCCAGTGCAGGCTGCGGTAGGCAACCCTCTCGGCCCTGGTTGGTGGGCATCGTTTCGGCCACTTATGTGGCAACACTATGACGACGGGAGGCAATTCATTGACCTGTCCCGGTCGAGGTCGCTCGTCGAAAAACGAAATGACACCACCGGGATTGGCTGGTATTGGATCGTGACTGGGCACTGGGCTGGCCTTCCCTTGACCTGCGCGCTGCACAGTGGGCCGGAAGACCGGTGGAGGCGGACGAAACTCTGGACGCGTTTTGAGCTCCAGAGTCGCTAAAGAGGCTGGCTTCCCGACCCGTACGCAGCCCGTACGCCTCCCCGCGCCGACGCCACACCACGCCACTGTAATCGCCGGAGCCGAGCCGAGCGCCGAGCCGAGCCGAGCGCCGAGCGCAGCCGAGCCGAGCCGGCCGGGACGTGCGCCGGCCGAGCCGGGCCGCGTCCGTTCTGCTGCGAGCAGCCCAGCTAGCGAGCCGCACCACGGCGGCCCTAACCTCACTTCTGCCTCCAGTGTCGCTGTCAGGACTTTGTTTTCGCCCCGGCGCCAGTGTAGTGACTGAAACGGGCTGCAGTGACGTGTCGCGTCAGTGGCGTGGCATCCAGCAGACAACGCAGCAGACGACACCGGCCATCTGCTGCCCCGACGGCGCTCCAAACAACAACAACACCTGTGGCACTGGAGCCAAGGGTCTCTTCTGGTGTGTACACTGCCTACTTAGGTTAAGTTTTTAGTACCTGTGGCGTTCTTTCGGGTATCGCGGGTGCTTCCCCACTGTTATCAGTTACCGGTGTAACAGGCTGAAATCGCGGCGCCTGAAGGGACGCGACGAGCTAAGACGCTACTAAATCTGTGGACGATGCCATGGGCGGTGCCCTCCAGCTGTGGTCATTTTCGTCGCTCTGTCTCTCTCGCACCTTTACGGGTAGGCCCGTGAGCGCGAGAGAGACAGAGCGACACTCAAAGTTTTCATACAAATTTTCTACGAGAAATCACTGTTTTCTTTGCATACGAACCTATTTGTACAAATTTGTATGTGGTTTCGTACTAAAATGAGGAAATTTGTGCAGTTTTTCGTACGAAAATGAGGAAATTTGTGCAGTTTTTCGTACAAGAATTGAACGAAAAGTTCGTGTGCACTATAAACTGTGATGTCTCGTACTTACACAACATTTAGTGTGGACGAAAACGGCGCTCAGTCTGCTGGAGCAGCAACTTCCATTTTTAGAAAAACAAAACGTTGCAGTTTCCCGCCAAACCGGCGTGCTCCCATTGGCCCTTCCGTCGCGAAAAGTATATTTTCCAGTGGCGTGGAGGCCTTCGCCGGCGCGCCGCGCAGTGCGCCGCACAGTGGGCCAGAAGGCCGGTCGCTCAATGGGACTACAGAACGGAACGAGTGACCCCACCAATGGATTGCTCTACGGGCGAGGAATCCATTGAGTCCTGTTTAGCGACTCTGGAGCCCAAAACGCGTCCAAAGTTTTGGCCACCTGCACCGGTCTTCTGGCCCACTGTGCGCCGACTGGCCTTGTTTGGGTGCCGACGTCGCGCGTCGCGCCCACGAAACGTGAGGGTGACGTCATTGCTAACGTTCGCGGTAATCGAGGCAGGCGGGATGGTGCCGCGGGGCCCAGGGCTGCGGGCCTACACTGCAACAACGAGACGTTGCTGCTCATTGCAAAGCGTTATCACAACTAGCTAATTACCACCCTGTTAATCGTCTAATTTACAAAAAAAAAATATCAAATTTCTTTTTGGTTGAATTTGTTTTATCTTTAATGCCGTGGACAACCGAGTCTGCAGACCGATTCCGAGAGTCGTTTTCGTCGAGCGACGAAAACGACTCTCGGAATGAGTCTGCTGGGTCGTGGCTGGGCCACTGGTGGCCACGCCCACTGGCCCCTGGCAGGCGCCGGCCGGCAGGTGGCCAGACTTGCAAGCGAGCCCGTTGGGTTGCCTACACTGCCGGCGCACAGTGGGCCAGAAGACCGGCGGAGGCCGCCAAAATTCTAGACGCGTTTTGAGCTCCAGAGTCGCCAAATGGGACTTGAACCAAACGTGTGTCCCCACCAATGGATCCCTCATTCGCAGAGCAATCCATTGGTGGGGTCACACGTTCGGTTCGAGTCCTGTTTAGCGACTCTGGAGCTCGAAACGCGCCAAGAATTTTGGCCGCCGCCACCGGTCTTCTGGCCCACTGTGCATGAATGCGAGGGAGACACGAAGGCGATGAGGGCACTTTTCGGCTTCGAGCTGCGTCGCGCCGCTTATCTCCATCCTCGTGTGGGTTTTACAAGTCGGAGTTAAATCTCGGCGTGTTGATGTCGGGCTGTTATCGTCCGATTTGCGTCATGGACGCTGGATGAAGGCATTCTCTCTCTCTCTCTCTCTCTCTCTCTCTCTCTCTCTCTCTCTCTCTCTCTCTCTCTCTCTCTCTCTCTCTCTCTCTCTCTCTCACTCACTCACTCACTCATCATGGGGCGTTGCTATGAGCGCGAGGGAGACAGAGCGATGAAAACGACTCTCGGAATCAGTCTGCAGCCCCGCTCAGCAGGCGTCGGTTTGGTCGGATCGCGGGTGCATTCCTGAAGGGCTTGCCTCGAACTGTCGTCTGCTGCGCCGCGGGACAGAGACAGAGCGACGCGGCCGGTTGGAGGGAGGCTCGGGGCCGCCCATCGGGGCCGCCCATCGGGGCTGCCCATCGGGGCCGCCCATCGGGGCCGCAAGGTAGCGCAGATGCCGCTGCAGGGCGCTCTGTCTCCCCCGCTTCCATATGGCGTGGCGTGAGGGAGCGAGAGAGACACAATGGTTCTTCGGAATCGCTCGACTGGACCGCAGCTTCCCCTCGCATTTGCTTACCGCACAGTGGGCCCGGGGGCGGACAAAATTCTGGACGCGTTTCGAGCTCCAGAGTCGCTAAATGGGACTCGAACCGAACGTGTGACCCCACCAATGGATTCCTCGTTCGGAGAGCAATCCATTGGTGGGGTCACACGGTCGGTTCGAGTCCCATTTAGCGACTCTGGAGCTCGAAACCATGCTCGAAACGCGTCTAGAGTTTCGGACACTTCCACCGGTCTTCTGGCCCACTGTGTACCCTGGGGCCCGGGGGTCATCGCCCCGGGGGGCACACTCATTTCACCTGCAGCTCTATTTTCAATGGCCTTGGCGGCGTCCCGGCCTCACGGCGCGTCTGACGGGGAGGGTAGGGACGGAACAACGCGCGGGTCACGTGGTTCACGACGCAGGGGAAAGAAAATCAGCAAGACCGGCGGCGGGATTCGAACCCGGGGCTTTTTAGTGGCAATTTTCGCCCTGTCGTGACAGCCGACTGACGACCCCTTTCTGCTGCGTCTGTTTCCAGGTGCGTGCTGTTGAGGACACGCCGCCGGCACTATGACAATCGTGGCCGGGAAAGGCGCTCCGGAAACCCCGGCGGCTGAGCCGGCGGGGCCAGCGGAGCCCCTCGACGGAGAGGCAGCTAATGGCGCCCCCGAGGCCCCCGAGGCCCCCGCGGCCCCGGACGCAGCGCCAGCGGCGACGAACGGCGCCCCGGAGCCGCCGGCCGCGACGCCGCAGGCCTCCGCGTCCAGCCGCGCCGTGCCCGAGGTGGTCATCACGTCCCCGGACGCCCCGGCCAAGGTCCCCGACAAGTCCCCCGCCGCCAAGGCCGCGGCCGAGGCTCCAGGCAAGGTCCCCGTCAACGCCAGCAACGCGGCCGCCAAGCCGGCCGGCGCCCCGCGACCGCGGCGGCGTCCAAGGCGCGCGCCGCGGCCAAGAGCCCCGCCAAGCCGGCGCCCAGGACGGCGGCGGGCAGGATGCTGTGGCTCAAGGCGCGCCAGAAGGTGCGGCCGTCGTCGCCGGGCGTGTCCCCGGCCGGCCGCGGCGCCAACAAGAGCCCCAGCAGGCAGCCCCCGCGGCCAGGGTCCGCCGCCTCGGCCGCCTCCGGGTCGTCCACGGCGCCCAGCGCGAGGGTCGCCGTCAAGCGGCAGCGCGGCCGCGGGTCCAGCGAGCTGCTGCGCGACCTCCACCTCAAGAAGGACCTCAGCCACTGGGAGCCCGACCTCTGCATCCAGATGCTCAAGATCCCCTCCGCGCAGAACTACTCGGCCATGCGGAAGCTGCTGCAGCTCCAGGGCACCAACAAGTAAGTCCTCCTCCTGCCCCAGTTCCTCCTGGCGGAGAGTCGCTTTCGTCGCTCCGTCTCTCTCGCACTCACGGGGCGTCCCGTACAGGTGCGAGAGAGACGGCAGACGCCCGTTCGCGTCTACTCACGTTAAGGGGGGCGACAATAAATGACGTGGGCGACTCACTGTGAGGCAGGATACCGGCACCGGTGGCCAAAATTCTAGACGCGTTTTGAGCTCCAGAGTCACTAAGCAGGCCTCGATCCGGACGTGTGAGCCCACCAATGGATTCCTCGTTCGGAGAGCGATCCATTGGTGGGGTCACACGTTCGGTTCGAGTCCCATTTAGCGACTCTGGAGCTCAAAACGCGTCTAGAATTTTGGCCGCCTCCACCGGTCTTCTGGCCCACTGCAGACTGATTCCGAGCACTGCTTTCGTCGCTCTGTCTCTCTCGCACCTTTAAGAGACCCCCCGTGAGTACGAGAGAGACAGCGAGCGATGAAAGCAGTGCTTGGAATCAGTGTGCGAGATAAAGCCCCAGGACTCGCAGCCTCGCGACTCGGCGCCTTGCCGCCCAGTGTGCCGCCCAGGTCTGCCAGCACACTGTGTAGCGTTGAGGAAATGCGCTGTCGAAATAACGTCATCCTCTCTTTTAGTCCTTAATTTATTTTTCAAGTGGGCGCGCCGCACCTTGACACCGTTGCTTTTATCGCGAGCTATCTGCGCGCTGATTGTCGCGGTTTATATCGAGACTGATTGATTATTGTTTCTTTTTTTGTTGTTGTCATGTTTATTTTTTTTTTCGCGAGGAGGTTTCCGCGTGTCCCAAAGGACGCGCCTTGCCACAGTCGGGCAGATGGTGCCGGCCGGTATATATTGGGCGTATCGGACAGATAGCGTCCTGTGGGACCAGGGGTCGCCGATAGGGTTGGGGCGAGAATAGTGCAATCTGTCTCTCGTGCGCAGGAGGTTTCATTAATTCGACAGTTGCAAATCTAAAATTCGGTGCCCACCAAGGGGAAATAACTTCAGAAAAAAATGTACACTTGAATTAAAATTCAAAAAAATTCAAAAAAATTCATTAAAATTCAAAAAACAATCATTAAACTTTCACTGAAATATTGCAAAAACTTCACCAAATTTCATTAAAATTCACCAAAATTCATTAAAGTTCACAAAAATTCATTGAAATTCACGAAAATTCTTAAAATTCACAAATATTCAAAAATTCTTCAAAATTTACAAAATTCAAAGTATTTCTTAGAAATTCATTAAAATTCAGCAAAATTCGCCAAAATTCATTCAAAAAATTCAATGTAATTCATTGAAATTCAATAAAATTCACCAAAATTCGTAAAAATTCACTGAAATTCAAAAAGAATTCAATAAAATTCAAAAAATTCACTGAATTTCAAAAAATTCAATGAAATTCACGAAATTCATTCATTTGTACACCGAAATTCAGAGTTATTTCCCCTTGGTGCCCACAGTCGCCACCAGCCTTTGGTTGCAATTATCGGATTGCGGCTATCGAATGTCGATCACTACAACAAAAGTCTTTTCATCCAGTAGGATGCGAGGGGGTAACCACTCGCGTAATACCCCGTACACAAAAACCGTGTATTACACGTAATACACGTGATCGTAATACAATTTTTGGGTCAAATGTGCCAAATTTTGGCGTTTTAGGCCGTAATACACGTGTAATACCCCCGTAATACAGCGTAATACCGAGTAGTCTGTACACGATTTCTTGAAGTATTTACCACCTCGGTAGGATGCGTGGTGAGACCAAATAACATGAATTTGAATTTATTCGTGACTTCGTGACTGCTGGAAGGGAGTGGACGAGGGGAGGACAGTGGTAGATCCATAGCTGGCCTGGGGGAAGGAGGAGGAAGAGGGGAAAAAGCACCTTTTGCGCCTACCGAGGGGGCGAAGTACGGCCTGTTTGCCTACCTTTAAGGCGTCTATCGAGGTGCTGTTGGGGGCACACACACACACACACACACACACACACACACACACCGCATCCACGGCCAGGTACCGCACCGGCCGAACTGATTGTCGTAATTGCCCCCGGGACGGTGATCTCGATGGCGGTGCAGCACATGATGCAGTGCATGATGCAGTGGCTCGTCAAGTTGTACCCAGGGACGCCGTCGACGGCCGTTTAGTGCCGCGGTGGGTCGTTCCGGTGCGCAGTGCATCGCAGTGCATCGCAGTGCATCGCAGTGCATCGGCAGGCCGGGCTGGAGGCGCGTGTTTTGGAGCGGCCCGGGGATTCCGCTGGAGGCGCGACCGTCTCTCCCGCACTCGCGGGGCGCCCCGTTGACCCCAGCGGTGCGAGAGAGACGGAGCGATGCTCGAAGCAGCCTGCTGCGGTGCGCGTGTGCGCATCATGCCATGTTAATTCGATTCTATCGACCTATCGCTTATCTCGATGTTATTATTACGTGACGCGTCGCTGGAGATGTATGAGCGGCTTACGTGAACCCCGCTGCCGGACGAGGAGGACTTTCTGTCTCTCTCCCACCGGCACGGGTCGCGGCCGCGAGTGCGAGAGAGACGGCGCGACGCGTTCGGAGTGCGCTCTGCGGTGCGCGCGGTGCGCCACGCGACACTAAACTAGGGGCGTAACCCACGGGGCTCTGACAGGGGGCCACTTTGAGCCCGAAATTGGGGCTCGAGCTTTGCGCTCGTCGCTGTTGGCACGATGATGAAGCTGTTCGGAACTGCGGGGACGTGGAGTCAAAATATGACGCGTGAACACTGCGAGAAAAAAGTACGGAAAAAGTACGGAACATGTCTGGTAAATAATTTGCCTGGACCGTCCGTACCTGCCCCACTACGGAACTTCTGTACTTTTTTTCCGTACCGGATTACATGAGTTCTTATGGGACAAGTAAGGACGTTCAGTACTTCCATACCATTTTTCGTCTATACATTTTCCGTACAAAACAACGGAATTTTTTGCAGTGAAGACCAAGGGGAAATAACTTAAGGCAAATTTGTACACCGAAATTCATCAACCATGAAAAATTCACTAAAATTCATTTAAATTCATCGAAATTTGACTGAAATTCATCGAAATTTTACTATAAAATCATCGAAATTTTACTGAAATTCATCGAAAGTCAACTGAAGTTCATTGGATTTGTAAACCGAAATTCACAGCGATATCCCCTTGGCGAAGACACGGCTTAAATGGGTCTATCTTTGAGCTGTGCGCTCGCCGATCGCTGCAGACTGTATGGTCCTGCCATTGACTTCTGGACTGGGTTGGGTACGGTTTATAAACTACTTGGACGACTGAGGATTTAGATAAGCTGACAAGATGGATCAATCTCTGGGACACACCGTCTGACTCAGACGGACTGAGGAGTTCAAACTTTGATTTCCTGCAGTTCGTGTCTCTTCTTTCAACAAATTACCTAAACACTGAGACTTATAATTCTTTTTGGAATTGATGGAATGACTTTTTAAACAGCTGTGTGGGGAGTCAGTAATCTAGCCGGACGATAAAATTCACCCCCATTGTTTGTTTTTTCGTATTCATTTACTCCTTCCTCGTCCTGTAAAAAGCAACTTTTCGGGGTGGTGAAATTTTTCCACATAAAAGTGCACGGCGTTTGACGTGGGCGCGACCAAACTTCGCAATCCACCCCTAAATTGGTTTCTCAGTGTAGCGTCGTTGCCCGGCGCTGAGCCCTGCGGTCGCCCGCGTCCTTCCCTCTCGGACTTTGTCGGCGGCGTACAGTGTATTAGTACAGTGTGCAGTGTACTGGTCCCCACAATGCAGCCATGCCGCGCGCTATCGTTTTGAACGATGAGCCTGCGAGTGTCACTAGTGTCACTGCCTCGTTGCGCAACCCAAGTAAAGGGACCATGGAGTCCCGGAGGCTGAGCGCTGTTTTCGTCGCTCTGTCTCTCTCGCACCTACACGGCGTGCCGCGGGAGAGCGAGAGAGACAGAGTGACGAAAACGACTCTCGGAATCAGCCTGCTGTAGTTCTGGCGGTACGCACTGCGTGCATTGTCCACGGCAATCGACTGGGACCTCTTCCAGCGGGCTCTCCTTCCGAAGGTCTCTCTCGCTCTGTCTACGGAACGCCCCATGAGTGCGAGAGAGACAGAGCGACTGTTCGGATTGAGCCTGAAGGGCGCGGCCCGCCGTCGGCGTACACGAGTATGTACATAAGGCCCGAGTAGTTGGTGGGCGCGCTAGGGTGGGTGCCCCACTGGGTGGGCCTGGGCCTGGGCCTCGGCCTGGGCCTCGGCCTGGGCCGACGAAGGAGCCAAAGATCGCCTCCCTCCGTCCCTCCGTCCCTCAGTCCCTCCGTCCCTCCGTCCCTCCCTCCCTCCCTCCCTCCCCCTCCCTCCCTCCGTCCCTCCGTCCCTCCCTCCCTCCTCCCTCCGTCCCTCCCTCCCTCCGTCCCTCCCTCCCTCCCCCTCCGTCCCTACCCTCCCTCCCTCCCTCCCTCCGTCCCTCCCTCCCTCCGTCCCTCCGTCCCTCCCTCCCTCCGTCCCTCCCTCCCTCCCTCCCTCCCTCCGTCCCTCCGTCCCTCAGTCCCTCCGTCCCCTCCCTCCCTCCCTCCCTCCCTCCCTCCCTCCCTCCGTCCCTCCCTCCCTCCCTCCGTCCCTACGTCCCTCCCTCCCTCCCTCCGTCCCTCCCTCCCTCAAATCAAATCAAATCAAATCCCTCCAGGATGCCACCATGACCGACCATGACGGGGTGCTTTGCTTTGCTTTCGAGGATTTGCACCTCCCCGACGGCCGCCGGCCTCGGGGCCGGTGGCGGTGCTGCAGACCGATTCCGAGAGTCGTTGTCGTCGCTCTGTCTCTCTCGCACTCGCGGGGCGTCCCGTATAGGTGCGAGAGAGACAGAGCGACGAAAACGACTCTCGGAATCAGTCTGCCGGCGAGGAGATAAGCGTGCCGTCGACGCGCACCTCGGGACGGCCGGTCTGTCTCTCTCGCTCCGATGTCCCGTGAGTGCGAGGGAGACAGAGCGACGGCC